CTAAATTGTTGGTCTGACCATGTAGCTATGGTTAGTTGCTTCCCATTATCTCTAGGATCAAATATAAAATTCTCTAATATTCAAGCCCTTCATAAAATGGCCCCTTCTTTCCTTTCCAGTCTTCTTACACATTACTGCTATATACTCAGCTATCCTCATTATTCCTCTTGTTCCTGAAACAAGACATTCCCAAGATCTCCCAATTCTATGCATTTTCACTGACTGTCACTCCATTTCTGGAATGCACTCCTTCCTTGTCTCTGCCCCTAACTTCCCTGGCTTCCTTAAATGGCTCTCCTGGCTTCCTTCACATCCCATTAAGATCTCACCTTCAGGGGCAGATAGGTGGATAGAGCACCGGCCCTGAAGTCAGGAGGACCTGAGTTGAAATCTGGCCTCGGACCAAATACTTGACACTTACTAGCTGCGTGACCCTGGGCAAGTCACTTAACCCCAATTGCCTTAAAAAAAGAAATCCCACCTTCTACAAGAAGCCTTTCCTGATTCCCTTATTGCTAGTGCCTTCCCTCTACTGGTTGTCTCCAATTTATCCTGCATATCTCTTGCATAGTTGTTTGGATGCTGTCTCCCCCATTAGACTCTGAGCTCCCTGAGAACAGGGACTGTCTTTTAACTTTCTTTTGTAAGTCTAGACCTAGAACATTGCCTGGCACATCTTATACACTTAATAAATGCACGATGACTGAATGTAGAAACCAGTGGCAAGAGGTAGACTGGTGGGTTTGAGTCCAGTTACCAGCCCTGCCAAGGATGTAAAGAGTCAAAGAAATCTTGGGATGTATATCCCTCCTATCCTACACAGGCAAGCAAGGCATTGTTGGAACTTCTTTATTAAATGTAATAGATACACTTAAAAACACAAGCATATGTAATAGTAATTAGGGATTTCACACACAATCCTCATTTTTTTTTGTTCTTTTGGATGTGGAAATGTTCATATTTATTGACGTTTATCATATTCTGAATTAAAGAAAAAATTAAAGATAATTGGATCATTGATTTAGGTTTGGATGGAAATAGACGTCATAAATTACAACTCCTTCGTTTTAATAAATGAGGAAAATTAGGCTCATGCGGCTTATGTGATTTGCACAGGGATCCACAGGTAGGAGTTAGGCAATCTAGGATTTGAACACAGGTCCTCTTTCTCTGAAGCCAGTGCTCTTTCTTCTACACTACAGCTCATTTGTAACTTTATTGCCTGGAGAGGCTGTATGCCTTATCTATTGTCACACAAGTCCATTTGTTGAAGGTAGAATTTGAACCCAAGTCTTCCTGACTCCAAGGATGGTTTTTGTCTACTATGCCATGGTGCCTTTGTTACAATTTTGCATTTACTCTGTCTAGTAAAGATTAAGAGAAGGAACATTTTTAAAGTGCCTATAATATGTCAGGCCCTGTGCTAAGTGCTTTATAATTATCATCTCATTTGAATAGATGGCTGTTATTATCCCCATTTTATAATCAAGGACAGTTTAATGACATGCCCAGGGTCACACAACTACTAAGTATCTGAGCTTGGATTTGAACTCAGGTTTTCCTGACTCTGGGGCGCTGGTATTCTATCCACTATATACATAGTTGCCTTTAAGAGGAGATAACATGTACATGTATATGTCAATACCAAACAAATACATACAGAGCAAATGCAAAATAAATGCAAGTCCCTTTCATCATCTGTAAGCATTTATAAAATAGATATGGTAACGTGCCCAGTCTATCTCACAGAGAAGTGTTTGAGGCACAGTTTGAACTTGGGTTTTCTTGACTCCAGGCCCAGTATACTCTGTCCACTCGGCCATCTGCTGGTGGTCCAACTGCATATATGCCCCGAGACTTGCTAGAGCAATAGATGATTTGAGGTCTCCCTCTGCTTTCACTTTAGAGAAAGATCACAAAAATATCAGTTATTACCAGCCAGGTTATGGGAGAGTAAATGTTTACCTCAAGTGTTTAACTTAAGATTATAAGATAACTATGAGTGGGACAAAAGCTTTGTATGTAGTAACTTATTGTGAACTTTCTAATTTTAGATTTAGACTTCCTTTCATCAGCTTTGGGAGCGGGTGACAGAGGAAGCATGGAACATTCTTCAACATGTCACAGCTATCTCTTGGATTTCTGAATCATTAAATGATGCTTAATAAACTTAATTTTTACATTAATAATTTTAAATATATATGTATATTTGTGTTTATGTGTATACACACACACACAGAGCTAGGTGGTACAGTGGACAGAGCACCAGGCCTGGGATTAGGAAGACCTGAGTTCAAATCTGGCTTTAGACACTTACTAACTATGTGACCCTGGGCAAGTCACTTAACTCTGTTTGCCTCAGTTCCTCCAAGAAAACCCCAAATGGGATCACAAAGAGTCAGATATAACTGAACAACAACAATCTATCTATACATATATATTTACATATATGTAATACACATATATTATATACAATATGTTATATACACACATATACACACACACAACAAAAAGAAAGAATATACATTGTTGTCATCAAGCCTTTAATAGTAAAGGAGTGAGGACCACTGTTTTCCTTTGTCAACTTTTCTTCACTATCAATCAAAAAAGCTGAATCTGAGATCCTGTAATCTTTTCCAAGTTCAGTTCTCTTTTACCACTCAGAATTAAGCAAAATTTTAGAATAAAAACAATCAAAAACCCTGATCAAAAGGAATACTAGTCCACAGTATGAGAGTTGGTGTTAGGAACCACAAAAGAAACCATTTCTGCCTACATGGTATTAAACATGTTATCATGTGTTTCCTCTGTTAAAATATAAGAATTGACTGGATGCAATGTGGAGGATTCATAAACTCTACACTGCAGCACAATCATACAGGGTTGAGACAAACTATTTCCCAACCAACATTTGGACACTGATGTAATTTGAAGGAAATCTTGACATGTCACTGTTAGGTTTCTATGCTGCTGTTTACTGACTTTAAAACAGACTACATAGAGAAAGGAATGACAGATGTGTGTTTATCTATATAAAATGTCTGTTTGGGAGAAGGATGAATTGACTGGTAGAAATTGGTAGATATGGAAGAAAAATTTCCTCACTGAAATTGTCTGGATCCTTTAGCAAATTCATCAGTAGGTTTGTAGACAAAATACACACCATTCTCTTTATCACACTGGATAAAGATGCTGGACTTGGACTCAAGAAGATCCGAATTCAAATCCAGCTTCAGACACTTGCTGGCTCTGCAACTCTGATCAAGTCACTTAATCTCTTTGTGCCTCCATCAAAAAGGGATCATAATAGCACCTACCTCTCAAGGTTGTTATGAGAGTAACTGAGACATTTACAAAGGTCTGTGTAAACCTTAAATCATTATGTAAAAGCTAGCTATGGAAAACACTATGTAATTGTATTAGTAAGAAAGTCTCCCCAGTCCCCTCAAAATGCAAAAACTAGTAAACATTTTATTAGGGGATGGGTTAAGTACAGTCCTTCCTGGAGAAAAAGGAATAATTCCATAAACAACCACAGATTTGGTCTTCAGACATGTTCTGGTCTTGTACAGTTTTTGTGTAAATCACCTGTAAGAGAAATCAAGAGACGTGTGCCAGAAAGAGCACAAACTTCATTTATCATGATTACTCACCTCCCCTTCTTGTTTCTGTATTTAGACAAAGAATTTAATGGTGTACAGTGTAGGTGTAGTGGAAAGTGCATTTAACCTTGAAGCAGCAGGCCTAATTCCCACCTTCTTCATTTAATAAGTGTATGAATTGGGCAGTTCTTTTAAATCTCTGGGTCTAAGCTTACTCATGTGTTAAAAGAGAAAAGAATACTAGCCCTATCAATTTCAAAAGGTTGTGAAAGTCTCTGGAAATGGAAATGGGATATACTCACACACAATTGTGAATTATTTATTAACATTAAAGAGTAGGGGAGGCAGGGAGGGAGTAGCATTTGAATGAGATCTGGTCTTACTGGCAAACTCATATTGGCGGGGGAAGAGCACTGGATTTTTAGTCAGAGGACCTGGATTCAAGCTGGGCTCTACTATTAACTACCTGAGGGCAGGTAGCTGGTGTAGTGGATAGAGCACCAAGCCCGGAGTTAGGAAAACTCATTTTCCTGAGTTCAAATGTGGCCTCAGACACTTACTATCTGTGTGACCCTGGGCAAGTCACTTAACCCCATTGCAGCAGTTCCCTCATCTGTCAAATGAGCTAGAGAGGAAATGGCAAACCACTCCAGTATCTTTGCCAAAAAAACCCCAAATGGGGTCGCAGAAGAGTCGACAGACTGAACTACATTTACTACCCAAATAGTGTTAAACAAGTCCACTTGATTTCTCCGGCCCAAGGACCGCACATCAGTATGTAAAATAAGGAGGTCTGACTAGATAATGAGTAAAGTCTAAATTCTCCGACATCAGAACAGGGCTACTCTTCCTCACAGCTTGTTGGGTATAAACTCCCATTCTGTCCATCTGGCCCCACACAAGCTTTACAGATTCCCTGTCACTCTTATATTAACTATGCTTTCAGAGATTTTGACCACAAACAAGTAAGTTTTTTAGTACTTAGGGTGCATTCAATGTTGTTAAGTAATGTTGAAAATCTTTTCTAGGTCATACTCATCCTTGGACAACACTCAAACTCCACCCAGAGAAGGGGTAACAATATTAACTAAGAAAAATCAACCCAAGAGCTCTGGCCTTGGAGTCAGGAGGACCTGGGTTCAAATCTGGTCTCAGACCCTTGACACTTACTAGCTGTGTGACCCTGGCCAAGGGGACCCCCGATTGCCTAAAGCAAAAAAAAAAAAAAAATCAACCCATCAGGTACAGTATTGCCTGATTTAAAATGTATCCCCCAACTCTCCCTACCTGGGGGGGAAAAAAGGCTACTCAAGTGAAATATTAGGAAGATGGTGGAGAACTACGGACACGCTCTTCATCTTACCCCTCTTCTGCTTGGCAGGGCACAGTGCCCTCCTCCTCTAGTCTCACGCCTGAAAAAGTCCCCAGTGCGCAAAGCCTCCCCAGCCTCTGTGCTGCCTACTCCTCCAGGTGATCCACTTTCGCAGGGCGTGGGAACGGCTCTGGAACCAAATCCCCCCGTGTTTGTGGAACCCGATCTTCCTTTGTCCTGAAGGCACCCTCCACCTCTCTGACATCAAGCCGCTTTCCCAATCGGGTGATTTTCCGGTGGTGCTGTAGGGAAGAGAACACCCAACCTTAACCAAGGTACTGTACACACTCCTCTCTTTTCCCTGGTTTTCTCTCTTAGCCCGCAGGTTTGGTTTTCCCCGCCCAGTGCTGCAATTCTAGCTGCAACTACCCTCACACATCTGGCAGGACCGCAGCTTTACTCCTTGCCTTTTCCCTGAAGGGCACTGAGGAATAACAGGGCTTGCCTCCATGGAAGGTCCTAGGGCAGGTCGGACGTGGTGGCCCCGGGGACCCAAGCGAGAGTGGCAGAGAGAGAGGGAGAGAAAGAGAGGGAGGGAGAATGAAAGAGGGAGAAGGAAAGAGGGAGGGAGAGAGACGCAGACAGACAGGCAGAGAGAGAGAGAGAGAGAGAGAGAGAGAGGTGGGTACTGCACAGAGACCGAGGCGGCCACAAGGACCCCCGCCTCAGACGCCTCCAGCCAGGACGCGGACGCAAGTCGAGGGCCCCCTCCGCCTTCCTGCCCATCCAGCCCTCCACCCCCCGCGGCTGCAGCCTCCCTGCCCCAATGCGGCAGAAGTCACCGACAGCGTCCAGGGCGACCAGCAAGCAAGGGGCGGCGAGGTAGCGGCCTGGCCAGAAGCGCCTGGCAGGTTTGGGAGCCCGTGGCTTTCTCCGCGTTCCTGGCGCAGTGACCCAGACCTCAGGGCGTGGGTCGTGTGGGTTTGGCTGCCGGGGGCGTCGGCTTCCCCTTCGCGAGCGGACGGCTGCTCAGGGGAGGAGCTGGTTTCCGAGCTTCCCCCGCCGGCGTTTGGCCTCCGGCCCCGGGCTCTCGCCCTCTCTGCTTGGCCACCCCTGGCTCCCCGAGCTTGGAGAGGCTTTGGTGGGGAGAGGTAAGCGGCATTCTCCTTCCTCCCCTTCCCCCTCCCCCGTCCGGGAACCTGAAATCCATGCTGAGGAGACCTGAGTCTCGGGTCTTGGGTTAGCTTTAGAAAGGGCTGGGGGCCAGAAAGGAAGGGACCCCCTTTTAAACCACCTCCGCCCCCACCCCCACCCCCGGGACGCAGGGATTCGGGAGGGCGAGAGAGGTCTGTGAATTTTGGGTGCATTAGGTGCTGGTTCCGTAACAGGAGGAGAGAGGAGTCTTTGCAGACCTAACGGGCCCGGCGGACTCGGGCCACTTGAAGGGAGAGGCTCCCCGACATTACCTCTAGCCCAGGCGCGTAACGTGGGGGCGCCCAGAGCAGGCACGGGCGCGTGGGCGTGCCCGGACTCCCTGGCACTGTGGGAAGATAAGGACCTGCCGAGGGACATTTAGGGTCGTCTGGCTGCTCCAGCTGTCTAGAACTACTATCTCCATTTGGTCGTCTTTTTCAAAAGAAAGGAACTTTTGTTCTTTCAGAGTTTCCAAAAGAACCCTTATGTCTGCTAACAGTGTAACTAGAGCTACAAAAATAAAGCAGAAAAGGCGCCCTGGCAATGATCCTGCAAATTGGCTTGGGCAGCTAATTATAATGCAAGCAGAAAACTTGTGCTTTTGCTGTCATTCCAAGTGTTCCTTTGCCCCATCCCTTTCCTGTGGGTTGCTATTTTGGATAACAAACCCCAACCCCCACACCAATCCGGTTACGAAAAAGAAGGGCACACAAAGATTTTCATCATTAGAAAATGGGGTTTATTTAAAGTTTTTTTTGTTTTGTTTTGTTTTTAATGGAAAGTAGATCTCAAACCAAAGCCTCACACACCTAATTTAGAAATTATTCAGAAGTCCTTCAGAAGGACTCAGATAACACTGAAAATCTGCTCAGGATATTAGCGACTACAGAGCTCCTTTTTTAATCTCGTGTGCCTTATTCTCCTATTACATGTGCTCTGCCCATATTGACCTTTTATACTACTATCAGCCATTTCAAATAATCACATTCAAAAACCAAACCCTACAGTAGAACTCATTTTCTTATTGTACTCTTTCTACATTAAATAATTGTTGAAATTGCATTTTAGTTACATGAAGTTTAGAATTTCTGGGAGGCCCAGCCTAGCTGGGAGAACTTCCTCTATTTTTCAGGAGAAAACAGCTAGCTTTGACTCCACCTTTCAGTTTGTGGTACTTGACTCATTTCTTGACTTTTCACACACCAAGGCCTATGAAAATAAATAGGTACTCTCAGGGTAACCTAGTCAGGACAGAGTTAACTAACTCCTAGGGCTCTTTAGATAATTAGAACTTTGATTTGTAGGCTTAGAAAAAGATTTCTATGCAAATTTAAGTTGTTAGTGATATGCTGAACTACAAATTGAACATGATGGAATCCACATTTTCTATAGAAAGCTTTCTGTGGCCTTGAAAAAAATCACTATCTAAATGCTGTCTTATTATTATTAAAATGAGACTACCACTGAGACTTACTAATAAGCTTTGATGAGGATAATGTATTTGCACGAACAATGCCCATTAGAACAAAAATTCTTAAGATTCAGAGAGGGAAAATGGCAAAATATTGACAGGGATGCATTTCAAAGTTTAGAAAAATGCATGAGAAAATAATTGTTTCATAAAATTTTTAATTTCTGAATTTTCAAAAAATCAAAGATTCTCCTTGACATATGATTTGGCAGCACAAATTCCCCACCTCTTAATCCTGTTCATACGTAGCCCTTTCTCTGAAGTGCTGTATTTTGTGTCCTACCCTTATCATATATCTGGGATTTTTAACTTACTATTTTTTTTTACAATCTCCCTCTCTTCTGCTTTTAAATGCTTAATTATCTCTCAAGTGGAACACAGCATTGACTTGGTTCTAAGAAACTTTTCCAGTACCATTTCATTTCTCTCTTTTCTTATAGCTAAACTGCTGAAACAGATGATTTTTCTATATTTTTCTTAACACTTTTTACCTCTTTAAATCCAAAAGGTTGATAAGGAAGAAATCAGATTTTTAATATGTGTGTTTGTTACACTTTGATGTTCGGAATTTACTGATAATCTGCAGGACTAAGTTGGTTTCCTTTTGCATTTAAAAAAAAAAAGTTTTATACAAATAAAGTCTTGATTGCCAAGAAAATGGTTTACGTTTTTAAAAGTACAGCCTATTTCTGAGTGCTTTAGAAGCTCAAGTACTTAAGTGGAGACTTGCTCTGCTTAGGCTTTGGGTCTGTATGTTAATTATAAATAATTCTTATCTAGTCACCATGGTAGGAACTCTACCAGGCAACACTTAGTGAGTGTTATACCTATACAATGATATCTCCATGACTAATTTTTTTTTTCCTAAATAAAGCCAGCTTCAACTTAAGAGTTAGGAAAGGGTCCAATCTTCTTTTTCTGTTGGTGGCACAGGTGGTCAAAGAGGAGAGGTGCTCCTTGGGTTCAGACTCCTCAAAGACAGACCAGTGACTAGGTCTGGTTAAATAGAGGATACCGCTCCTGACATGTTTTCCAGGGAACTGGGAAGCTAAATCTCAAATTTGGTGAACCTATCATTGGACCAGTGAGGCTAGCCTGGTATCCCTTGCAGTTTGAGAGATTGGGCAGCCTTAACCTTCTGGAGGGAAAGGAGAGAGGGTGTATCCTGATGAGTTGTGGAAAGGAATCCATGTCTTGGAAAACATCCCTCTACCTTTTATATTCTTTGAATATCTGGTAGCAAAAGCATTGTTGGATTGCATCCTTTTATTACTCTCCTTGAAAATAACAAAAAGTATATTTACACTAACGATAGATCAGCAAACGTGATATATAGTGAATGCTGAATTTGCAGTCAAGAAGTTGTCCAGTTGTGTTCAACTCTTCATGACCCCATTTGGGGTTTTCTTGGGAAAGACAAGAAGTGGTTTTCTATTTCTTTCTGATTTTACTGATGAGGAAGCCAGGCAAACAGGGTTAATTAAATAGCTTGTCCAAGGTCACACAGCTAGTTAAGTGTTTGAGGCCATATAACTGAAGTCTTTCTGACTCTCAGCCCAGTGCTCTACCCACTGAGCCACCCATCTACCCCTTTCAAGTCAGGAAGAGCTGGGTTCTAATCTTATCTCTGACACATACATACTAGCTTTGTGGCAGTGGACAAGTCGTTTAATTTTTTTTGCCTATTAAGTTCTAGAATGGCTTAAAAGATCCTTGAGCAATTTTTGATGTTTAAGACTTCTACTGCTTGGTCTGATTTAGTGAGGCCCTGCTCTACCCTTCATGCATGAATAATCTGTGAACTCATCCCTTTGGATTTGGTACTGATTTTATTGCACTATTTTTAATTCAAGGTCAGATTTCAGTCTTCAAAGAATATGTAAGATTAGTAAGCATGTGAACGGGAGACTGGTGGGTTTTTCCACTTAAGCTGTTTTCTTAATGTCATGTTTAGATGTCCTAACCTCCCAATCACTTGGTTAGTTCCATAGGTAACAAGTCTTCTGTAGCTATTTGAGTTCAAGGTTTGGTAAATTGGGGAGGTATGGAAGCCAAACTTGGCATACTCAGCTATAGCACCTAAGAATGAAAATATAGCATGAATTTTCCTGTTTAAAAAAAAAAATTCCCTAGTTTGTTCTTACATTTGTTTTTAAGACTTTTGAAATTGAGAAGTGGATTATCCAGAATCATTCAGATGAGAGAAAAATAGATGATAATCTAGACATTTACTTGTAGTTTTGAATAAAAAGGACTGGAATATAATTGATTTCCACATGACCAAAAAAAACAAAAAAACAACCCTTTAATTTGTAATTTGATTTAACTGGCAGGTTCCAGAATGCTAGACAGGTTTCTTGTCTCCAGCCTAGAGACACTTTCAGGATCCAGTTTGCCCTATACTCAGCTGTCAAACACTGTGTTTTTTTTCTTTCTTTTCTTTTTTGAATTTTAATACAGATAATTTTTTTTACACTTAATAGTATTTTATTTTTTAATTACATTTAAAGATAGTTTTCAGCATTCATTTTTATAAGATTTTGAGTTCTAAATTTTTCTCTCTCCCTTCTTCCCCTCCCACCTCCCCAAGGTAGCAAGCAGTCTGATATAGCTTATACATGTACAATCATGTTAACCACATCTCCACATTAGTCATGTTGTGAAAAAAGAATCAGAACAAGAGAAAAACCATGAAAAAGAAAAAAAAATTAAAACTGAAAATAGTATATTTTGATCTGCATCAATCTCCATAGGTAAATTTTCTCTGAATAAGGATAGCATTTTTCATCATGAGTCTTTTGGAATTGTCTTGGATCAAAGTCTATCATAGTTGATCATCGCACAGTATTGCTGTAAACTGTGTACAATGTTCTCCTGGTTCTGTTCACTTCACTCATCATCAGTTCATACAAGTCTTTCCAGATTTTTCTGAAGTCAGCCAGTTCATCATTTCTTATAGCACAATAGTATTCCATCACATTTGTATACCACAACTTGCTCAGCCATTCCCCAATTGATGGGCATTCCTTCAATTTCCAATTCTTTGCCACCACAAAAAGAGCTGCTATAAATATTTTTGTACATGTAGATCCTTTTCCCGTTTTTATAGTTGCTTTGGGTTACAGACCTAGTAGTGATATTGCTAGATCAAAGGGTATGCATAGGTTAATTGGCCTTTGGGCATAGTTCCAAATTGCTCTCCAGAATAGTTGGATAAGTTCACAACTCTACTAACAATGCATTAGTGTTCCAGTATTCCCACATCTTCTCTAACATTTATCATTTTCCATTTCTGTCATATTAGCAATCTGATAGGCATGAGCTGGTACGTCAGAGTTGCTTTAATTTGCATTTCTCTACTCAATAGTGATGTAGAGCATTTTTCATGTGACTATAGATAGCTTTAATTTCTTCATCTGAGAACTGCCTGTTCATATCCTTTGACTATTTATCAATTGGACAATGACCTCTAGTCTTATAAATTTGACTCAGTTCTTTATGTATTTGAGAAATGAGGCATTTATCAGAAATACTTGCTATAAAAATTGTTTCCCAGCTTTTTGCTTTCCTTCTAATTTTGGTTGCATTGGTTTTGCTTGTGCAAAACCTTTTTAATTTAATGTAATCAAAATTATTCATTTTGCATTTCATAATGTTCTCTGTCTCTTGTTTGGTCATAAATTCTTCTCTTCTCCATAGATCTGACAGGGAAATTATTCCTTGCTTTCCTAATTTGTTTATGGTATCACCCTTTATGTTTAAATCATGTACCCATTTTGACTTTTTCTTTGTATATGGTATAAGATGTTGATCTGTGCCTAGTTTCTACCATACTCTTTTCCAGTTTTCCCAGCAGTTTTTGTCAGATAGTGAGTTCTTATCCCAGAAGCTGTAGTCTTTGGGTTTATCAAATAGTAGATTACTATAGTCATTGACTACTGTGTCTTGTGTCC